AAATACTTTAATTTGTATGATTTTTTAAAAATTGGCATGAATTTGATTTTCCGAAAAATTTCCAAAGACGTGACAAGTAGAATGAAATTCACTGCAACAACAAAAATAAAAGTTTAAAGTGTTCTGGTTTGATTTGTATACATGTGCGAGTGTTTGGTGAAAATATAAAAGCTGGTCTGTGCATTGATTCAGACCCATACACTGAATTACATGAGACAGATGTACGGCACGACGTTGTGCTTTTGTTGCGCGAAAAACAACACCGGTACTAGTGCTAGATCTAGCCCTAGAACTACGACTCGGGCCGTGTTCGGGTACATATCCAGGATCCTAACTATTAAACTCATCATATTCTGAGACACTAGAACTAGTAAAACGCACAGAAGTATAGAAAACGGCGAAATTATGTGATTCTTGTACATGCGACTTCTTCGACCGTTACTACGACGCGACTGTCGGATTACTATGAGCTGTATAGAAAAAAACAAAGCGCGAGTTCCGGTCTGTTCAACCCCAGTTGGGGTTACTGTCCTTCACCTTCAATAACTTAAAAACTACCAGCCCCAGAGATACGAAACGAAGTCTAAGAAGCTCAGGCTTGGCCAAACAAGGGTACGAGGCGGGTCTCGCGATCCGTGCGTGATTTGTAGAGCGGAAAAAAAATTCCAAAGTTGGTCACGCAGGGGTTGTGAGACCCGTCGTAAGCGTCGCGGCGGGGGTCACGCAACTGTTGTGTGACCCGTCTGAAGTGAGTTAATGGTGATGACAAGAGCAAGAGCCAGTATGAATCATGCGAGAGACTTGAAAACCCACTTGTTCTCTAAGTAGGTGAGCAGCTTCAGCATGGTGGCAGCCTCGGAGTAGCAGAACTCCTCCCGGAACTCGTACTTCTCCACGATGTCTCGGTACACCAGGTGGTGGATCGGGGCCAGGCCCTCCTGGAGAGAAATGTTTTAGTATGAGTTTTACGGCATTTGCAACACAATAAGGTCATATAAGTGCCGAAGATTAGAGGTGTTACAAGAGAGTAACAAACACAAAAAAGAAGGTGGGGAGATAAGGACGAGAACAAACTTTGAAAAAGTGTGACTGACTAGGAAAAAAGAAAAAAACCCACAGTCAATAATATAGAAGTGAGATCCCCTGTTCATTTGGGTTCACGGATAGGAACAAACTTTGAAAAAGCGTGACTGACTGTAGTAAGCCACTCCAGGAAAAATCACATAAATTGGAAGGTAGAGACATTGCATGTGTGGCAGCGTGATGAAATCAGGAGCTTGTCAAAATAATGAACAGACATTTTGCTGTATATTATACATATATACATATCACAATTTGTTGTGGACCTTCAAGTTTCGTTACAGGAAGGCAGAGAAAGAGGCAGGAGAAGAAAAACATCCCAGAATGGATAGTAAAAACCAAAGCTGGACTGATTTGACTTGACTTGACACCCTGAGAGAGTCAGAAAGATAGACAAAACTGAGGGTCAAATCATCCCCCACCCTCCCAAAACCCTGAATGAGAACGAGAATGAAATTTTTAAAAAAGATTTTTAAGGAAAAACCTATACGTAGGCCTACGACTGGGGTCATTTTGTAACCCTCCCCCCCCCGGGTTGTATTCTTCACATTTTAGAATACACTTCTAGTGCGCAGATCTCTTTGAAACTTTCAGTATTTCTCAAAAAATTATCTTGACAGACTGCTATGCAAAGCGACTTGATCAAGTCAATTTCCTCTTTGGAAAGTGATGGCACAGACTTCCCCACATGATCGTATGGATACGATAGTAAAACACAACGTACAGATAGATATAGGGTTAATAATCCTCAGCAAGCAACTCACATTTGACAAGGCGTACTCCTCTGCAACATATTCTTTAGGCATCTCAAGACACGAGAGGATCATGGCTGAAACAATCCCAGTTCTATCCTTGCCGTGGGCACAGTTGATCAAGACTGGTAGATTGTTGGGGTCTGACACAAGCTTCAGGGCTGGGGAAAGTCAAATAGTCTGAAGCTATACACTGGGATAAGGAGGAGGGGAGGGCTTTGATGCTAAGCCTTTTGTGTCACGACCTGGTGGAATCAGGTGCTCGTCAATTTTTGAGCAGAGTTACTGGTATTTAGTTTGTTTACTTGTCCTTTTATGGATGAATAAAATACCTATCCATCTTGAATAGAAGTCGAGATATTTGTCATGGAAGAAGGTGGGGGTAACCTGTTTTCTAGGGTAGAATTTGCGAGAAAATGGCCGCCAAAGTTGGGTTACTTCTAGTGCTTGAGAGTCCTTAAAAACTGAAAATTTACTTATTAATCAATGTTTTTCAGTAAAATGCACAAGGAAATGTATTTTACGGTGAGCCAAAAAAACAAAAATTTGAAAAAAATTGCCAATCTTTAATTTTGATCATTTTGACAAGAACCCGATTTCACCACGAAGCCTCACATTAAAAAATTTTTTGCACCGGTCCATTTCATTTTCCCACTGACAGCACATAGTAGGAAAAATCTAACAACAGTGAATTACAGGGCACATCATGCAGACATTTAATCCTTTGGTAATTTGCACCATTGAGTATGATTGAATCGTCTTGACAGCAATTGGCCACTTATATGTTTATAAAGCATATATATATATATATATATATATATATATATATATACATGGCCCATATATATATATATATATGTGATTACCAATTTAATAAATCTACCTTGAAATTTAATAAATCTACCTTGAAAAGGTTACTTCTTCGTTTTTCTATATCATGAAAAGATTTTTTAAAACTTACAGAGAGCTTAACATATTTTCCTAAATCACTGACTGAGGACAATAAAATTGCAACATGTATGAATGTATGGTGCAATTCTACACTTTAGAATTTATTTGTAGCCATCCCAACTATAGCAATATGAGTGATATCGATTGGTAAAGTAGGTTGTTAGCCAAACCTTTTTGCTTTTTCTAATAATGGGTTTTAGAGCTTCTTACTTTCTAATTTAAAAAAAATTAATTTCTTTTATTTTAAAGGAAAATTTTCTGAGGCATTCAAAAGAGCGGTTATTCTCTCTCTGTCTTAGTGATTTAGGTGTGACCACAAGTAACAGTTAGTGCCACTGATGCATTAACAATGACACAAGCTCAAACTTGAAGATGTCCATGCCTTGGAGATGATGACTCTGAGAGTGAATTGGTTTCAACATTTTCAGATTCAGATGATAAAATATCACCCATGAGGAAACAGAGATCTTACAAGCACAAAACAGGATTGTTTTCCAGTCTCAAATCTGGGCTTCATTCTCATACACAAGCATTACTCGCAGAAGTACATAAAAATATAATAGTTTTTCAGAGAGGAATTCCGTAATGAGCGACCACCCAAACAAACACAATAAAAAAGAGGCTTTTACCTAACCCTGACCCAACTGCCTCGCCCCTACCCCTATGCTACCCTAACCCTCTATTCTACTCAGTTTCATGATAGTGGTCGCTCATTACGGAATTCCTCAGTAGTCAATATATGTGAGGCATCGTGGTGAAATCAGGCGCTCGTCAAAATAATGAAATTGGAGAAAATGGCATTTTTCCAAGAGTTCGGCAATTTTTATCAAAATTTTGTTTTTCGGCTAAAACCTTTTATGTTGATACATTAAAACACATTTCCAAGTGAATTTTACTGAAAACCATTGTTTAAAGGCACAAAATATGTAATTTTCAGTTTTCAAGGACTCTTTTTATTTAAAAGCTATTGAAGTTGCCAAACTTTGGCGACCATTTTCTCATTAATTCAACCACTGAACCCAGGCTACCCCACCTTCTTCAATTCCAAATATCTCGACTTTTCTATTCAAGCTATTTCAATATTTTTTTCATTGATTGCAAGGCAATTAAATAAGCTTTCAGGCGATATAAAATCAATACAATAACTCCACATGCCCAAAAATTGACGAGTGTCTGATTCCACCACATCGTGCCAAATATGATATATCCACCTCGATTTCCTTTCACGTCAAAAAGTGCCCATCTGCATAAATTTAGACCCCCCTCCCCTGTCTCTCTCTGTCCGTCTGTCTATTCTCCTTCTCTCTCTACTCTCTGTCTCTCTCATGGTGGACATAAAACAATTTATTTTATTTTTATTTGCTTGGTAAACTTAAACTATTTTTAAGCTTCTTTGCTGAATGATTGTTCCATAATATAATACATATGAGCCATTGCCAAAATGTGGGGAAAAACACACACATCTCACAATAGTGTGCATAAAATG